TGTATTTCATACCCGCTCCGCCCGAGACCCGTGTCATTTAAAAAAATGATTACCCGCCCCGCCCGCCCGTGTGCCGGAAAATACCCGCGCCCCATTAATCCCGCGTTTAATTAAATTTTTCTTCCCCGCCCGCCCGTCGCCACGTGGCCCGCAGGGTGAACCCCGTGGACCGCACATCTCTGTTAACTACACTGAAACAGTGATCAGTAAACTGAACTTGCACGTCGCTATGCGTTTTTCTCATGATGTGAAAGGTTCTGATTTGATCTAGTATCGCTTCAATTATATATTCAAACTAATAAATTATCTATCACTGATAATAATTAAATTGCTCAAGTGTTTTTAATAATCGGCACATCAACTACTCGCTATGTATCTTGGAAATTATAAATAATAGAAGTACTGCTTTTCAGTCATCAAACTATTCTACAATATGTCGAAGTTTTCCTTGATGGATAATCACATATATGATACACAGAAAAACTTGATAATTCATTTTTGACATATAAGACATTGACGAATTTAACATAATCTATCAAAAACTATTATTTTATTTAAGATACTCCCTCTTCTTATGGCCGGTGCACATCATTTTTTATTCAAATCAACAATAATAAAAGATTTTTTTTTTGAATTATATAAAATAATGATCAACTCAATACGACGTCTTTTGCTATATTAGACTTTCTTACATCATTCAAGTGTCTTGAATTACTCATCTAATAGCATGCTGACTATATTGTGACATACACCTGTTCTTGTGATTAGTTAGTATGTATGATGAGATCAAGTGCTCTGCGTCAGACCGACTTTTTTGTCCAGAACTACAGCTAATATTTGTTGTGGAGAGGATATCGGAGTAGTAAATCTGCTGCTAGGTAGCCGGAAGACTGAAGTGACAAAACACGATTGTTACATTTTGTTATCGAAGAAAAATGTCTTTTGAAAAGTATTTTCAATTAGGTAATAATATTTGTATATGATTACAACGACCACGAGAGTTTTTTTTTAACTTTTTTTAAATAATACAAATCATTGAAAAGAACCAAAAAAAAAAAGAAAAAATTATTTTTTACTGAAAAGCATTTTTCTAAAGTCATCATTAGTCATTGTATTTGTAGTTGTTGATGTTGATTGACTCGTTGGTTTTGTATTTGTTGTTGCAATTTTTCTTGGTACTAATGAAATTTGAGAATGTCCTTTACCTCTTGGTCCTGTTGATTTCGGTGCTTCACCTAATGATGCTGCTCTTGATACAACTGGTTGAGTTGTTGGTGCTAATTTAATTGGTTGTTTGTGTTGTGGTGGATTACTAATAGCAACTTTAATTGTGTGTCCATCGACATCTGTTCCATCAAATTTAAGTATTGCTTGTGAAGCTTCTTGTGGATCATTAAATTCAACATAAGCAAGTCCTTTAGATTTTCCACTTTTATGTGTTACTAATCGAACATCTTTGATTTTGAATCCTTTTTCTATAAATAAATTTTGAAGTTGTTCTTTTGTTAATGAAAATGGTAAATTTGATATAAATAATTTATTTTGTTCTAATGTTGTTGCATATTTAAATTTTTTTGTTAGATCATTTGATGTCGATTTATTTCGATCATATTCACTAACATACATTGGTCGATCATTTATTGGTGTACGATCTAATTTTAATGCTTGACGATAACCTTCACTTGTAACAAAATCAACATAACCATAACCTTTTGATTTACCAGACCATTCATGTTTAACAAGACGTATTTCTTTTATTTCACCAGCTGATGAAAGTACTTGACGTATTGCATCTTCAGTAGTATCAAAAGCCAAATTAGCGATAAATACAGTATTTAAATGATCAATATCTTTTGTCGTACTGATCATAGAAGAGGAAGTTGATGATGATGCAAGAGAAGGAGGTGGTGGTGGTGGAAGTGGTATTTTAAAACCTTCACTATCTATTGTTGAAGCTTGAGGTTTCTTTTTAACATTCTGTGTTTCTTCTGGTGATAATTTTCGTTTACGAGGTGATTGTTGTTGTTGTTCGGTGATATTACCATTGCTTTGAACTGATGAAGCAGCTAAAACCAAAGATAAGAGTATTTAAAGATATGTAATTTATCTATGACATTATTTTAAAATAACTTTCAACAAAAAAAAAGAATCAGTTATATCGATATGACTTGACTTGAGAAAGAAAACCTCAAAATTATTGTTGATTAGTCATACACAATTTCTATATTAACCAAGTATTTCATTGTAATAAGATGATTTAGTAATAATCTATAGGATATATTATCATTGATTAATATTTGTATACTAGAGTTTGAATAATTATCAGAGATATTTTTAATGGTGAAATCTTAACTTTTTGGTTATCGATTATATTGTTCTAACCAATCGTGATATAAGGAAAAAAAGAGTACGAATCTTTTATTTTAATTTTAGAGAAATAATTGACGAATTATTTATTTTGAAAACAGTTTTTTTGTTCTTTTTAAATATTACGTATTATCTTACATGTCTCAATTTCTTAACAGAACATCAAATAGAAATCTACTATCCATTTCAAAATATAATATGCTTCACTGTTTTCTGAATAACTTTCGATAGGAACATCATAGAGAGATCCGAGAGCATTGAAATATATCGAAATTTGATTGGTCAGCAATAGATCAATTAGATGAGTTCTTGGTGAAGATTTTCGGAAGCGATATGTTGAAGCTATTTTCCTTTTGATTTAGACTTTTCCGATGATCCCCGATTTCAGTCAATCGATCTGTGATCATTTGGAAAAGCATCTAGCCAGGGTTAATTCCTGATGCTGAGTCGAATAGTGATGATCGGACTCTGTTATCTCAATATTTTTAAAACTTCACCATCGGTCTTCATGTAACGAAGGAGTTAGCATTTCGAAAATATTGAGATAACAGTGTCAGATCATTTTAAACCTAAAATACATATTACTATTCAACTTAGATGAGGAATTACCTCTCTGTAGCAGCGTTTCCGGATAATCACAGGACAATTGGCTGGAATTGAGGATTTATAATTCTCGGACGGAACAAATGAGGAATGTCGACCTTGCGTAGGTCGAAAGAGAAGTAGTTTCAGAATATCGTTTTTGAAAATTTATATCAAGAACTCACCCGTTTAATCAATTATCACTCAATTAAATTCCAGTACACTGGATAACTGCGGGTCTTCTATCCGGAACGATGAAAATCGCAGGTCTCTCTGATGTTCCTGTCAAAAGTTATTATAAAAACAGTGGAGTATATTATATTTTAAAATGAATAGTAGATAGAAAATGATTTCTGAGAATAGTTTGCCTAGTCTTACTTGTATCCATTTTATTATTCGAAACTTTCGTAGATTTTTCTTTAGGTTCCTTTTGTTTTCCTTTATTGATTTGTTTTTTATTATTTTTATTGAATTGTTGTTGTTGTTGTTGTTGTTGTTGTTGTCGTTTAGGTTTTTCAATTTGAACAATTTTATTTTTAATTTGTCTTAATTTATCTTTAGTTTCTTTTAATTGTTGTATAGTTCCATATTTTTTTTCATGTTCTAATAAAATATCACATATAATTAATGGATAATCCATTGTTTGTATATGATTTAAT